CCTTGCGTTGAGCACTTGTGTGTGTATACCGTGTTTCCAGAACTAGATCCAATTCAAGGCATAGGCGAATTCAGGATGGCTTCTTTGGTGAGGGGAGGGCGATTTGGACGATTTCCCTCCCTCCCCCTCCTCCCTCGTTCCTAAATCAGAAGCTTCACTACCTCTCCCCCCACCCCCATTCCCTGGTCGTCGCTGTGTCGGACACTCCACTGCCCTCTCCCATCTGTCCTCGTTGGTCGAGTAAACTGCGGAAACGGCCGGGGCAAAGGGAAGAAAGTGGGGCTCCTGGAGAGGGCAACAGGGGTATTGAAGAGAGTTTCCTACAGTAAAACAGCTACCTGTGTCACTTGGAAGGGATGCTCCCCCCCCACCCCCCTGGATCTGCCAGTGATCCAAGGATGCTACTTTGCCTAGCTTATTGGGATCCGGCCAGATTTGGTCGGGATGAAATGGTGAGAACTGGACCGAATCCAGAAGAACTGCGATACCCCGTACATTTACAAAATTAGGGCTCATCAAGCTGTTCTGCCACGGCCAGCTGATTTTGGGAGTTTAATCCGGACGATCTGCAGTGCCCGGTACGGGGTCGTTGTTTTTGTTAGCTTTTTGCCTATGCATTTTTCTCGGTATCTGCCTTATGTTGCTCTATTTTCGATTTCTTTGCATTCTCTTTTTGACGTTTTCGCCGTGCCTTTTACCTTCTTCGCTTTTGCTTTTTCTTGCCTGTCTCGTGTTTTGCTTGTTCGACAAAGTGAACAGATATTTTTCGAGGCGCTTTGATCGGCACTCCCACTCTCCTTATCTTTTCTTGCCCTTGCCAGAAAGCAGATGCTTGTTAACTTCCCGTGCATTTGTCTAAAAATTAGCTAATTCATGGCCGTGTCATTTCCACACGCGAGTGCTGGAAAATAGCCGTTGCTTCCCAGGTGTCATTGCTATGCCTCCCTGGATTCGTGAAAAAGAAGCTTCTGATGTTGGCATGAAAAATGGCTTTTTCTTTAGGTGTTTTGCAGTTCGAGATTTCGGCGAGTCTTAAGATGAAATTTTCTTTTCAGAGGCGTTTGGCATCATCGAGTCAGGCTGCTGCGGCGCGGAGTGCTGTCAATCCGGCAGAAGAAAAGGTTACAATTTTTGGATTGGGCAAAGAACCTATCGATTAACTAACATTTCTGTTTCAGATATCGCGGTTACCGAATGGGCTCACTGTTGCCTCGGTGGATGTTGGCGGTGCGGTATCCCACATGGTACTTGCTTACCGAGCCGGAACGCGCTACGAGATGCCTGATGAGGGGGGCCTTGTTCATCACATACGCAAC